CTGTAATACTAGTCTTTAGTGGGGTGATCTTTAAAGGGTTATTATGCTATCTTTGGAGTTAGTTTTCTGTTTTTAAAGTTTCTTACTGTGTGAAATCACTGATTTGTTATTTATATTTTTATTTATTTTTTACCACTTACAAATATTTTTATTTTTATTATTTTTTTTAAAAGATTTTGTAGTTGTAGATGGACAAGTGTCCCCCTTTTCTTTAATGAGTGCTGAGGAGTGAACCCAGTCGCTCTGCTGCTGAGCCAAGCCCCAGCCCCACAGATGATTTTATTTTCATTTGTTCTCTTGAGTCCCCTGACGGTGGGATTTCGGGTGTGTGGCACAGGCGTGGGGCGTACTTATTCTATGAGGACTCTGCAGTTTATTTCTCAGGTCTGCGTTCAGAGCCTTTCCCTTCACATGGCTCCACGACACCTCCTAGGTTTGGGCTTGTACTCCCTCCTGCTCATTCCAAGGCATCCCTTTCCCACGAGGTCCCTGTGACTCCTTCACCTGCTGTGGCCTAACTGACCGTTTTGGTCAATTCCATTTTCTTCCCACTTCCATGTCACTGTGGTCACAGAGGACAGTCTGTGTGACTTCAGTCTCTTTACGTCATTGAGAGCAGCTTTGTGGCTGGCAGGTGGGTGGCTCTGGAGGATGGTGTCCGCCCGCAGGGCAGAAGGTGTGTCCTGTGGCTGAGAGTGTCCCTGGTCTGTCACTGCTTGTCTTAGGGGCCGTCCAGCCTCCCCCTTCCTCTGGACGTGCATCTAGCTCTGGGAGTCAGTTTTTCAGTGAGGTTCAGTGCCTTATTGAGGTCTCCACTCTTATTGTAGGACTGGAACTGCCTGCTTCTTCAATCTGCCTGTTTCTTCATTATTTTGGGGTCCCATGTCAGGTGTGACATGTTTATGGTGGCTGTAACTCTGGGTGGGGCGGCATTTTGTGACATGCTGAGGTCCTCCTGCTGGTCAGTCTGCACCAGCTTGTGCATACCACCTGCTGCCTTCCAACCTCCGTCCCTGCCACACTCCCCACGGGCCTCCACGTCCCCGGGTCACACCCTTGTGGCCTCTCAGCTGCTCTCCGTGGACACCAAGACTTCAGGCCCAGTCCCCAGGGCTGCGACTCCAGCAGCCTCATGAGGAAGCTGAGGAGTGTTGGAGAGCCGACAGTCTCCCTCCCCATTGTCTGGAGAATCCACTGGGGAAGCGTTGTCTGTGGTGTCCTTTGTAGGATGTCTTCTAATCCTAGAGTCCACTCTTTAGTAGATTGGGACACTCTGTTTTTTCTTTTGTGCTCACTGTGGACACCTGGGCCTGGTGTGCCAGCATCACCGTCCATCTGCACACTCCCATCACCCAACGGCTCCCCCTGCCCTGTGGGGTCAGTTCACCCTCAACCCAGCCTCTTACCCCACTGATCCTCATTTGATCCCTTTATCACCACCTTTTCCAAAATGCCAGATTCACGGAGTCACACAGAGTTTAAAATGTTACTCTTATGGTTTGGATGTGGGGGTCCCCCAAAGCTCCTGTGTTAATGCAGAAATGTTCAGAGGTGGAGTGACTGGATCACGGGAGCTGTGGCCTCGGCAGTCCACCCTCCTTTGAATGGACTAACCGGGTGGTAACCATAGGCAGGTGGGCGTGGTGGCAGGAGTGGCCAATGCCCTGGGAGTGTGTGTCCTCTGCAGCCACCCCCCCCCCCGGCTCCGGTGGTGCCAGGAGAGGCACAGCCTCATCTACTGTCCCCTCTACCCTTGGTCCACTGCCTCACCTTGGGTGCAGAGCAGTGGACCTCTGAATCCATGAGCCCCAGCAAACTTTTCCTCCTCTATGTTGTTCAGGTATTTTGGTCACAGCTGAAACATAGGCCAGGTGGCAAATGACCTGAAAAGACCCCATGAAAGAGGAGCACAGATGGTGTCCAATGAGGTGAAAATGGCTGGACACTGGAGCAAACACTGAGGTGCAGAACTGACCCCAGCAGCCAGCTCTGCACACCTGGGTCACCTAGTGACCGTTGCATCTGACCCCAGCGGCCAGCTCTGCACACCTGGGTCACCTAGTGACCATGCATCTGACCCCAGCAGCCAGCTCTGCACACCTGGGTCACCTAGTGACCATGCATCTGTGTGAAGAGCTTTTGAGGGGGTGGGCTTCGGGGGCACTTTGGAGCTAGTGCCTGCATCTGACCTTGCTTTTTGCTCAGGACAAATAATTGACCCCCTCATACCTTGTTTGAGTGTTTTGGTTGAGTGCATTGAAATGTGTTTCCTCATTTGCCTCCATTTGAATAGTCCCTTGGGCGGCCCACCAACACGCCACAGGAGAGTGATTGAGACGGCAGAGATTCACGCTAGTGCAGTTCCAGAGACTAAGCCCTGAAGGCACAGTGACAGCAGGGACATGCTCCTCTGAGCTCTGAGGGAGAGCCCTTCCTGGCCTCTTGGAGCGTCTCATGGCTCCCGGCAAACCCTGGCCCTTGGCCTGTGGCTGCTCCCTTCAGTCTCTGCCCACGTCATGCCTCCTACCATGCGTCGGGGCTTCCTTCGACGTCCTCCTATAGAGACACTAACCATTGTACTTACGGCTCTGACCCAATATGACTTCCTCTTTACCCACTGCATCTGCAAGGTCACACTGTGAGGTCCTTGGTGGACCTGAATTTGGGGCAGCTGCCGTTCACCCACCATGTTCACCCACTTGCCGCTTGGTCATATTTTCTTCTGTCATCTGTGTAGCTAACCCAGGAATCTGTGACGTTGGAACTCTAGGATCTGATCCTATAAACCTGCTCCAGGTACACTGAGAACCTGTGACCCCATGGAGCTCTCCTCTGAATCTGTGACCTGTTCCCACGTCCTTCATTTCTGTAAATGTTGACAGACTCATAGGACATCCACAGAGTCACGTTCATTTGTACTCACCGGCATGTGCCTGCCTCTGTGGCCCCTTCTCTATCAGTTTCCTTGCTTTTCATCATTTCCTTTCTACCTTAAAACTTCTTTAAGTATTTTCTCCAGCTTTGATGCTGCCGTCGGCATATGCTCTCGGTGTCCACCACCTGAGGCTGTCCTCATCTGTGAGCACCTTGTCAGCTGGTGTAGACCTCGGGCTTGTGGCCGACGTCAGGTGACAGAGGCACAATTCCAGTGTCTTCTGGACTCCAACATGCCCACCGAGAAGTCATCTGTCAGTCTCGTTGTTACTTCTTTAAAGTTACTTTGTCTCCCCTTCTCCCTGACCTCTTTGATTTCTCTGTCTTTACATTTCAGCACCAGCAGGGCCAGGGTGGTTGTATGTACCCTGCCTTGCTTAGGATTCTCAGTGTGTTTTTAATCTATGGTTAATAGCTTTCATCAATTAAAGTTCTGACAATACTTCACTACCTCTACGCACTCATCTCTCCTTGTAGGATTAAACCTATTTTTTCTACCGAGTCCTATATGTTTGTTTCTCTACTTTTATCTTTTTTCTGTGGCTCCATTTTGATTTCTTCACCTCCCTTCATTCTCTAAACTTCTCTTTGACTTTGTCGAATATGGTATTAAACTACCAATTTCTCAATGCAGTTATTATGTTCTTCATCCATAAACTCATGTTGGATTCCTTTATAGAATTCTGCCACTGAAATTCTCCATCTTTCCCCCATTGTCTTAAAAAAAATCATTACTTACTGTAAGCCCGTGATTGACATTCAGATCTCTGTAGCACCCGTGGACCTGTGTGGTCTTCCTTTCTCCTCTTGGTCTCTTCAGTCTTTGTTTTTCCTCTTGGTCTGTTTGGTCTTTGTTTTTCCTCTTGGTCTGTTTGGTCTTCGTTTTTCCTCTTGGTCTCTTCAGTCTTTGTTTTTCCTCTTGGTCTGTTTGGTCTTTGTTTTTCCTCTTGGTCTGTTTGGTTTTCGTTTTTCCTCTTGGTCTATTTGGTTTTCGATTTTCCTCTTGGTTCCTTGGTCAATTGATCTTGTCGTTTGTTAGGCCTGATACTTTTGGAATAAAAATAAGATGTTGTGAGTGAAAATGTGAAGGTCCTTTTCTTCTTCATGAAGCCCCTGTCTCGCAGTGGGCTGACCTTCACTCTGACACCTGTTGGCTCCGGCAGAACACCTGAGTTCAGTCTGAGCTGGTTCAGGTGGGGCCGGTCTTACTTCTGCTTCTGCTAGGGAGCAGCCTCACTTAGACCCAGCATTTGCCACAAAAGCCTGAGTGCCTGGCCAGAGTCCCTTCCCCTCTCAGCTTGTGAGCTGACTTGGCTTCACTTCATGTTGGTGGTCAGACCCCAAGACCACTGAAATCTCTCTCCACTTTCCCAACCTCTCGTCTGTGACCTGTGAACTGGCAAATGCCTCAGGAAGAAAATCCAAGAAAGTAGTGGTCCCTGCTGTGTCCCCTGTGATGGGTGATGGGGACTTGGTCCCTCAGCCTCAGCTCCTGGTGCGTCCTCTGGCCCTCCAGTGGAGATTGCATTTGTTAACCAGGTTCCTCATTTTTCTCAGACAGATGGTCAGTCTGATAAGATCCCACTCCCCCCATGAAGAAGCAGAACTCGACAGAGCATTTTATATGGTCTAAGGAAAAGTGTGAAACTGGGCCCACAGGGGGTTGGTAGGAAAAGCAGGTGCCCAGGACAGCGGGCGGCAGGGCAAATGGAGAGGCGACCCAAGGAGGGCTAAGGCCAACGGGCAGTCCTGGCTCTGCAGGTTCAGAACCTGGACCCGCGGCCCAGGAGGCTGCCTGGTGCCCCAGCGGGGAGGGCACAGCCCTCCATCCTGGCCTTAGGATGGAGGCCTGCTGCCCTCAGGCACAGGGACAGGATGGACAGGGCCACAGGGAGGAGGCAGGGAGAGGTGGAGGGATGAGGACCTGTGCAGGGCTCAGGCTGTCCAGCTCCACACAGCCATGAGGCCCCGGACAGGGCACCAGGCGCCCTGGACTCTGGGTGCTCAGTACAGGTGCCAAGCGTCCTGCAGTGGTGACGGGTCCTGGGGAGGGGTGTGAGCCTCAGGTGACACCTCTGTGCCCAGGCTTCCCTCCAAGGGAGACGAGGCCCTGAGGCTGCTGTCCAGTGGCTGGAGGGTGCCCCAGCAGCCCAGGGTGGCCAGGCTCCTCCCACACACAACACCCCAGCACTCAGTGCTCCCGGAACCCACTCCTGCTCCAGGGGCCCCGACGCTGGCAGGACATTAACGAGCTGGACAGCCTCCCAGGTAAACAAGCATCCCCAATGACGGCCAGGAGCCGGCCCAGCAACCCGGAAGGAGAGGCTGTGGGCTGGGGACCAGAGGGACCGGGCAGGTATAAAAGCCAGAGCCCAGAGCTCCCCACACACACCCACACACTCACCCACCCACCCTCCTCCAGCACACCCACCATGGCCGCCTCCACCATGTCCGTCTGCTCCAGCTCTTGCCCCGAGTCCTCCTGGCAGGTGGACGACTGCCCAGAGAGCTGCTGCCAGCCCCCCTGCTGCACCCCCCGCTGCTGCCAGCCCAGCTGCTGCGCCCCAGCCCCCCGCCTGACCCTCCTCTGCACCCCAGTGAGCTGTGTGTCCAGACCCTGCTGCCAATCAGTCTGCACCAGCTCCTGCACCCCCTCCAGCTGCCAGCAGTCTAGCTGCCAGTCTGATTGCTGCAGCTGCTCCCCCTGCCAGCCAACCTGCTGTGTGTCCCTCTGCTGCAAGCCTGTGTGCTGCAAGCCTGTGTGCTGTGTGCCCGTCTGCTCTGAGGCTTCCTCCTCCTGCTGCCAGCAGTCTAGCTGTGAGCCCTCTTGCTGCTCCTCTTCCCCCTGCCAGCAGTCCTGCTGTGAGCCCTCTTGCTGCTCATCCTCCCCCTGCCAGCCGTCCTGCTGTGTGTCCCTCTGCTGCAAGCCTGTCTGCTGCAAGCCCGTGTGCTGTGTGCCCGTCTGCTCTGGAGCCTCCTCCTCCTGCTGCCAGCAGTCTAGCTGCCAGTCTGACTGCTGCAGCTCCTCCCCCTGCCAGCCGTCCTGCTGCGTGCCCGTCTGCTGCAAGCCCGTCTGCTGCTACAGACCCTCCTCCTGCGTGTCCCTGCTCTGCCGCCCCGTGTGCAGGCCCGCCTGCTGCGTGCCCGTCTCCTCCTGCTGTGCCTCCTCCTGCCAGCCCAGCTGCTGCCGCCCGGCCTCTTGCGTGTCCCTGCTCTGCCGCCCCACCTGCTCCCGCCCGGCCTGCTGTGGTGTCTCCTTGGGCCAGAAGTCCTGCTGCTGACCAGCCATATCCCCAGGGCCACTGGGCTCAGGTCCCTCCATAGCTGGGCCCCTCACCACCCACAGTCTGCCCCTGAGCTCCCCATTGGCTCTCTCATGTGTCCACTATGCTAACCTGACCTCCCAGGAGCCCCACCACCTTCATTCCCCTGTGTGTTCCTCTAGTTCCTTGCTCTGGGTCACCTGCCTCATCTTCCATCTATCAGCCCCTCTCAAGGCTCAGTAAACTCACCCTGATCACGTGATTCTCCTTTCTCTCATGACTGTGGGGACACAGGGTGGGAGGGAGTAGGAGCATTCCTAGGAGTGAGTGGCTTGGCCTGGAGATCACAAGGGACAGCGGCTATGTACCCCAGGGGCAGCTCTGGTGGGAGTCATGTCTCCAGAGGGGAAGTCTCTCCTGGGAGAGTCCCCAGCTCTGCAGGTTCTGTCCAGTGTCCAGCAAAGAGGCTTGGGCCTAGGCCGGGAGCAGCACTGGTGGTGGGACTTCTCGGTCGGTCGGCATGGCCGGGAGGAGTGTCTGCTGCGTCCTGCTGGGTGGAGCACACTGCAGACTTCTTAGGAGAGCGTCCCCCACAGTGGGGGTGACATTAACCCGCAGGGACCCCTGTCTAGTCCTGCCTGGCCACGTTTGTTGAGCCTCAGAAGCCGTCTTCCCAAGGAGCTCAACCTCACCTCAGAGCAAAACTCAAGGAGCTTCACAGGTGTTCAAGTGTCCCTCCCCCTGCAAAGTGAGACCCCGTGCTGAGCAGACCCCAGCCGTCACCAGGCGGCAGCGCGGAGGAAGGGGACCCCCCAGGGGACGTGAAGGGAGAGAAGCAGAAACTGAGGCCCCATCGACCAGGAGCCGAGCAGCCCGCAGTCCAGATCTTAGAGGTCAGAGGGTGAGCTTAGACCAGAAACCACGGGGCACCGCCGCTGGACTGTGAGAGCGCGTGGCCCATCAAAGGCCACCAGGTCCTCTCCCACGGTGCTGGTGCCATTCGCCTTCCCTCCAGCAGGCAACGAGAGTCCGTGCAGCTCCACACCCGCGCGGCTCCACACCTGCGCTGACTCTTGGGGCCGACATTCTGGGGTCTTTGTTGTCTTGGGGGTCTTGGTGGGTCTTGGCGGCACTTGGTGGGTCTTGGTGATCTTGGGGGTCTTGGTAGGTCTTGGTGGTCTTGGTGGTCTTGGTGGTCTTGATGGTCTTGGTAGGTCTTGGTGGTCTTGGTAGGACTTGGGGGTCTTGGTAGGTCTTGGTGGTCTTGGTAGGTCTTGAGGGTCTTAGTGATCTTGGGGGTCTTGGTGGTCTTGGTAGGTCTTGGTGGTCTTGATAGGTCTTGGGGGTCTTGGTGATCTTGGGGGTCTTGGTGGTCTTGGTAGGTCTTGGTGGTCTTGGTAGGTCTTGGGGGTCTTGGTGATCTTGGGGGTTTTGGTGGTCTTGTTGGTCTTGGTAGGTCTTGGTGGTCTTGGTGATCTTGGAGGTCTTGGTAGGTCTTTTGGTCTTGGTAGGTCTTGGGGGTCTTGGTGATCTTGGGGGTCTTGGTGGTCTTGGTGGTCTTGGTAGGCCTTGGGGGTCTTGGTAGATCTTGGGGGTCTTGGTAGGTCTTAGAGGTCTTGGTGATCTTGGAGGTCTTGGTGGTCTTGCGGGTCTTAGTGATCTTAGTGGTCTTGGTGATCTTGGTGGTCTTGGCGGGTCTTGTTGGGTCTTGGTGGGTCTTGTTGGGTCTTGGTGGTCTTGGGGTCTTGGTGATCTTGGGGGTGTTGGTGGTCTTGGTGGTCTTGGTAGGTCTTGGTGGTCTTGCGGGTCTTAGTGATCTTGGGGGTTTTGGTGGTCTTGGTCGTCTTGGTAGGTCTTGGGGCTCTTGGTGATCTTGGTGGTCTTGGTGGGTCTTAGTGACCTTGGTGGTCTTGGTGGTCTTGGTGATCTTGGTGGTCTTGGTGGTCTTCGTGGTCTTGGTAGGTCTTGGTGATCTTGGTGGTCTTGGTGGGTCTTAGTGACCTTGGTGGCCTTGGCGGGTCTTGGTGGGTCTTGGTGATCTTGGAGGTCTTGGTGGTCTTGGTGGTCTCGGTGGGTCTTGGTGGGTCTTGGTGATCTTGGAGGTCTTGGTGGTCTTGCGGGTCTTAGTGATCTTGGTGGTCTTGGTGGTCTTGCGGGTCTTGGTGGGTCTTGGTGGGTCTTGGTGGTCTTGGCCGATCTTGGTGGGTTGGTGGTCTTGGTAGGTCTTGGGGGTCTTGGTGATCTTGGGGGTCTTGGTGGTCTTGGTAGGTCTTGGTGGTCTTGGTAGGTCTTGGGGGTCTTGGTGATCTTGTGGGTTTTGGTGGTCTTGGTGGTCTTGGTAGGTCTTGGGGTTCTTGGCAGGTCTTCGGGGTCTTGGTGATCTTGGAGGTCTTGGTGGGTCTTGGGGGGTCTTGGTGATCTTGGTGGTCTTGGTGGTCTTGGTGGTCTTGGTAGGTCTTGGTGATCTTGGTGGTCTTGGTAGGTCTTGGTGATCTTGGTGGTCTTGGTGGGTCTTAGTGACCTTGGTGGTCTTGGCGGGTCTTGGTGGGTCTTGGTGATCTTGGAGGTCTTGGTAGGTCTTGTTGGTCTTGGTAGGTCTTGGGGGTCTTGGTGATCTTGGGGGTCTTGGTGGTCTTGGTGGTCTTGGTAGGCCTTGGTGGTCTTGACAGGTCTTGGGGGTCTTGGTGATCTTGGAGGTCTTGGTGGTCTTGCGGGTCTTAGTGATCTTGGTGGTCTTGGTGGTCTTGGTAGGTCTTGGTGATCTTGGTGGTCTTGGTGGGTCTTAGTGACCTTGGTGGTCTTGGTGGGTCTTGGGGGGTCTTGGTGATCTTGGAGGTCTTGGTAGTCTTGGTGGTCTTGCGGGTCTTAGTGATCTTGGTGGTCTTGGTGGTCTTGCGGGTCTTAGTGATCTTGGTGGTCTTGGAGGTCTTGGTGGTCTTGCGGGTCTTAGTGATCTTGGTGGTCTTGGTGGTCTTGTGGGTCTTAGTGATCTTGGTGGTCTTGGTGGGTCTTGGTGGTCTTGGCGGGTCTTGGTGGTCTTGCGGGTCTTAATGATCTTGGAGGTCTTGGTGGTCTTGGTGGTCTTGGCGGGTCTTGGTGATCTTGGAGGTCTTGGTGGTCTTGGAGGTCTTGGTGATCTTGGTGGTCTTTGTGGTCTTGGCGGGTCTTGGTGGGTCTTGGCGGGTCTTGGTGGTCTTGGTGGGTCTTGGTGGTCTTGGGGTCTTGGTGCTGTGCGGGGGAGTCTCACTGTTCCTTTCACTCCCAGTTCCTGTGCCGCTCAGCGGGGACACATTTCCAGGGCTCCACTGCCTTGCACATCTTCTGTGGTGAGCTGCTTTTTAGCTCCATCGTCTTCTCCTAGGCAATCTGCTTCTCCTTGTTGAATCCTAGGAGTCCTCTCTGTGTTGAGGGCAGCAGTCTTCATCACACATCGTTTGTGACTCATCCCCCCCAGTCTGTGGCTTCTCTCACACTGTCGGTGTCCTGTATCAGTTTGAAATCATTCCAGTAAAGAAGTCTGCAGGTCCACATCGCCCACTGGTGCATTAGTTCTCCTGGACCTTTTAAAGAAGAAAAACAGCCATCCTACACAATCTCTTTCAGAAAACAAAGGTGGGCACCCTAGCACTCATTTTTAGAGGTCACCCACCATTTCCTGCAACAACACACCCAAACTTCACTCTTCTTTGCAGCTGAGTGAAACTCCATGTGTATTTATACCGCTTCGTCTTCATCCATTCACCTGTTGATGGCCATGACTTGGCTCTTGTGAGTTTTCCTGCTATGGACATGGGCACGCCCGTGTCACCAGTGTGTGGACTTTGACTCTTGGATGAATACCGAGTGGTACAGCCAGCTCATATGGTAGTTCCATTCCTAATTTTGGAGGATTTCCATACTAATTTCCATAGTGGTTATACTAATTTCCAGTCCACTAACTGTGTAAATGTACCTTCCCCTCATCCTTACCCTGATAACTGCCATTCTAACTGGATTGAGAAGGAATCTCAGTGCAGTCTGGGTTTGCATTTCCCTAATTGCTCATGATGTTGAACATTTTCCATGTATCTATTGGCCATTTGTATTTCTTCTTGTGAGAAATGTCTATTTAGTTCGTTGGCTTTATTGGTTATTTTATTTTATTTGGGGCCTTAAGTGTTTCTTAGTTGTTCCTTTGGAGTATGGATCTTCTGTTTCGTCAGAGGAGTAGCTGGCAGAGATCCCTCCCACATGGGGGGCTGTCCCTCCATGCTCTCGTGTTCTTTTCTGTGCAGAACCTTTTAAATCTGATGCCACTCATTGATTAGTCCTTGATATTTCCTGAGCTATGGAGTCCTATGGAGAAGTCATTGCTTAGGGCTGTCTGTTGTGGTGTTGACCTACGTTTTCTTCTAGTTGTTGCAAGGTTTCTCGTCTAATTTCTAGGACTTTGATCTATTTTGAGTTTGCTTTTTTGCAGGGTGAGAGGGATCTGGTTTCATTTTTCTATCTACAGATATTTGGCTTTTCTAGCGCCATTTGTTTAAAAGCCTGTTGTTTCTCCACCATGTTTTGGAGTCTTTGTGGAGGGTCAGATGACTCTGTGTAGGTTGTCTCTGGGTTCTGCTCAGTTTCTCTCATTTCCATTGTTATCCCCGTACCAAGCTGGGTTCTTCACTGAGGTTCTGCAGAATGACCGAAACCAGGCATGAGACGCCTCCAGCATCGCTCGTTTTGTTCAGAATTGCTTTGGCTGCCCTGAGCCTTTGTGATGGACTTTGTGATGGGTGGAGGTAGTGACCTCCTTTGTCTCTTATGATTAATTGTGGGTTGAAATCTGCTTTGCTGGATAGAAAGTAGCGACTCCTGCTTGCTTTCAGACAAGAATGTGCATTTCAGGCTCCGACTGTGTAAGTTTTCTATGTCCTCCTGATTCAGTCTTGGCAGGTCATCTGGGCCTAGAAGTGTCTTCATTTCTTCTAGGTTTTCCAATTGATTGAAGCATATGTTTTCAAAATCCTAATGATCTTCTGGATTTTTGTGATGTCTATGATGATTTCTCCTTTTTCATCTCCAATTTTATTAATTTGAATCTTCTCTCGCTCTCTTTGGTTAGTTTGGATAAGGGCTTATTGATCTTGCTCATGGTTTTAAAGAACCAACTCTTAATTTAGTTGATCCTTTGTATTTTTTATTCTCAATTTGATTGATCTTGACACGATATTAATGATTTTCTTATTTCTACTGGTTTTGGAATTGGCTTGTTCTTCTTTTTC